GACAGCTCCAGGAATGAAAGCTAGACAAGACCATCAAACAAATTGAGCAGGTTAACAATTTAACCAATATCTATCTCTCGCCTTACTTCCTAACCAGATCATGTCCTGAGTGTTAAATAGCAGATCAGCTAGACTTGTCTGGCCTCCAGTTGCCAGTCAAAAATGAAGAAATAAAACTCTGTAAATTAAGATTAAAGAGTAACAGACAAGTGAAGATGTGTCAATATATACAGAAACTTTTTATTGTGTTGTTACAGCTGATGGCATCATGGTCAATATATAAGAAATAGTCGCAGACTACCGAGACACAAGTGTATTATTATATGAGCACTAAAACTTTGAGATGAGAGTTTGCTATATAAAATATTTATCAGATTACATGCTATAATTTATTTATTACTTACATGTATTACCAATAATGGCATGCTTTTATATGTACATTACAAATTCCAAGACATGAGTATTGGAACTTCTTCAAGGTTCTGAATGAGGTACCAAAATATGGTCTTTTCAACCCACACCACAAGTCAACACTTCAATTTTTATTTCAAAAATACAAATGTAGCTTCAAAGGAAATAAGCATCAATGAAATATTTTTACATTTTAAATGGTTTTTTAATTTTTTGTGGATGTTTAACCAGTTTTTCGAAACTCTTTCCCAAGTCAGTGGCCTGAGCATGACCAAGACAATTCTAACAACCTTATTGTAGTTTATTAAAAAGAATGGGGCAGATTTTGTTAACAAAATGTTGAGGTAAATTTACACACATCAAAAGGTTTACCAAATATACCATAAAACAAGAGGGCCATGATGGCCCTGAGGTCGCTCACCTGTATATAGCTGCCCCTCCCCCGGGCCAATTTTTACCCAAGGGCTTTTATTTGTTTATTTGAACAGACTTGGTAGACACCCATAAGAAGATGTTTCATGCAAAACATCTAAGTTCTAGCTCATTGGGTTTTTTTTTTCAAAGGTTTACCAAATATACCATAAAACAAGAGGGCCATGATGGCCCTGAGGTCGCTCACCTGTATATAGCCCCCCCCCCGGCCCAATTTTTACCCAAGGGCTTTTATTTGTTTATTTGAACAGACTTGGTAGACACCCATAAGAAGATGTTTCATGCAAAACATCTAAGTTCTAGCTCATTGGGTTTTTTTTTAAAAGAAGATTTTTTAAGTTTTTACTATACACATATAGTTAAAAACAATGAGACCCCTCGGGCAGGGCCAGTTTTGACCCCTGGGCTTTTATTTGAACAAACTTTGTAGATATTTACTTAAAGATGTTTCATGCTTAATATCTAAACTCTAGCTATTTGAGTTTTTTCAAAGAAGATTTTTAAGTTTTTGCTATACACATATAAGGAAATTCAATGACCCCCGGGGCGGGGCCAGTTTTGACCCCAGGGCTTTTATTTGAACATACTTGGTAGACACCCATTAGAACATGTCTCAATCTTAAATATCTTAGCTCTAGCTCTTTGGGTTCTTTAAAAGAATATTTTTTAAGTTTTTACTATATGCATATAGGGAAAATCAATGATCCCCTGGGACGGGGCCAATTTTGACCCCAGGGCTTTTATTTGAACAAACTTGGTAGACATTCACTAGAAGATGTTTCATGCCAAATATCTAAGCTCTAGCTCTTACAGTTCTTTAAAAGAAGATTTTATAAGTTTTTACTATATGCATATAGGGAAAATCAATGACACCCTGGGGCGGGGCCAATTTTGACCCCAGGGCTTTTATTTGAACAAACTTGGTAGACATTCACTAGAAGATGTTTCATGCCAAATATCTTAGCTCTAGCTCTTTGGGTTCTTTAAAAGAAGATTTTTTAAGTTTTAACTTTATGCATATAGGGAAAATCAATGACCGCCTGGGGTGGGGCCAATTTGGACCCCAGGGCTTTTATTTGAACAAACTTGGTAGACATTCACTAGAAGATGTTTCATGCCAAATATCTAAGCTCTAGCTCTTACAGTTCTTTAAAAAAAGATTTTTTAAGTTTTTACTATATGCAAATAGGGAAAATCAATGACACCCTGGGGCGGGGCCAATTTTGACCCCAGGGCTTTTATTTGAACAAACTTGGTAGACATTCACTAGAAGATGTTTCATGCCAAATATCTTAGCTCTAGCTCTTCTGGTTCTTTAAAAGAAGATTTTTTAAGTTTTTACTATATGCATATAGGGAAAATCAATGACCCCCCAGGGCGGGGCCAATTTTGACCCCAGGGCTTTTATTTGAACAAACTTGGTAGACATTCACTAGAAGATGTTTCATGCCAAATATCTTAGCTCTAGCTCTTTGGGTTCTTTAAAAAGAAGATTTTTTAAGTTTTTACTATATGCATATAGGAAAATCAATGACCCCCTGGGGCGGGGCCAATTTTGACCCCAGGGCTTTTATTTGAACAAACTTGGTAGACATTCACTAGAAGATGTTTCATGCCAAATATCTAAGCTCTAGCTCTTACAGTTCTTTAAAAGAAGATTTTTTAAGTTTTTACTATATGCATATAGGGAAAATCAATGACCCCCCAGGGAGGGCCAATTTTGACCCCAGGGCTTTTATTTGAACAAACTTGGTAGAACACTCACTAGAAGATGTTCCATGCCAAATATCTTAGCTCTAGCTCTTACGGTTCTTTAAAAGAAGATTTTTTAAGTTTTTACTATATGCATATAGGGAAAATCAATGAACCCCCGGGGCGGGGCCAATTTTGACCCCAGGGCTTTTATTTGAACAAACTTGGTAGACACTCATTAGAAGATGTTTCATGCCAAATATCTAAGCTCTAGCTCTTAGGGTTCTTTAAAGGAGGATATTTAAAGATTTTTCTTTCGGTTGCCATGGCAACCAGAGTTCTGCATGGAATTAAATTCTTTGAACAATTTTTAAAGGTGACCACCAAAGGAACATTCCTGTGAAGTTTGGATGAAATTGGCTCAGTGGTTTATGAGGAGATGTCATTTAAAGCAAAAGTTTACGGACGGACGACGGACGACGGACGGACCGACGACGGACGGACGGACGACGGACGAAAAGCGATCACAAAAGCTCACCCTGTCACTTTGTGACAGGTGAGCTAAAAATCAAATAAATAGAAGTGACGGCACAACTGAGTGGTTAACATGTCAAACAAGTAATCTAAGGATCCCTAGCCACAAAAGTTCAAACCCTGTCAGAGGCAAGCAGTTGTTTCCTTCAGCAAGAAACTGTTAATTTATATTTTGGCACATTATTTTCAGAAAGACTGTCTATTATTTACAGAAGGATGATCAAGTATTGTATCAACTGTCCAAAATAATTGACATGCAATCTACTTTTTAGATTAATGCCATTGATAAATGAATAACAGATTATTTCATAAATATTTAATCAGGTATCTTACTTTTTTGTCAACCTTTTGCGAACATAATCTTCAGATATTGTACAGAAATAGACTCCTGAGTCAATTACCTCATACCAAGTTTAAAGTAAGACTGTGTCCTATTACCAAGACTGTGTCCTATTACCAAGTTTAAAGTAAGACTGTGTCCTATTACCAAGTTTAAAGTAAGACTGTGTCCTATTTATTATCTACATAAAAAAATCTCAGGGCAAACTTACTGTAACTACACATTTACATATAAATTATAACATGATTTTCAGTGGGCAGTGAAATTTGGTTTTGATATTTTCACAGTGAAATTATAAGATATAATTTTCAAAGTAGTCTGACAATATCTGATTTAGGAGGAAAAGAATATTTCTTAAATAAGTAGAATTTTTTTCAAAGCAGGTCATTAGGAAAATGCAAGATTGATTCATTAATCAAAATGTTAAATATTCAAACAATATTTACCAGTAATTATATTGATTAACCCGTTATATATATAAGATAATTATTGTGGTTTCTGCATCACAAAGTATAGAATATATATCATTTAAGACTTTTATACCAAAGCTTGTCAGATATTTTCTAGAAGCTATTATTATCAAAACCAAAAGTGTTTATTTAAGTTACGTAAATTGGTACTTTTCATTTAACATTTAATTTTCAAATTGACTTTCTAATATTTTCCAAACTTGGGGATGCATATAAGAGTTTTCATCTAAAGAATGGAACACAAACTTTTCATGGTTTCAGCTGTTAAATAAATAAAAGATAAAACGGGAACCATTCTGAAAACAAATGACTGGTTCCAATAACAACTTGTAAGAGAAAGGTAGGAAAAAGTTGTTTGGTTTTATGTCGCACTAACACAGTATAGGTCTTATGAGAGTTATTCATCTATCAAGCTGATATCTCAATGTTTTAAAAAACAGCCTGGACAAAAAATTATAGATTGCAAATTTAGCATTTAAAATAACAAAGAGCATTAACTAAAAAGTTGTCAATATTGCCAAATGTATTCTACCCTACGGTGATCTATACCCCAGTGAAGTTTCAAATTAATATCACTAAAGTTTAGTTATACTTGAGCACTGCACTCCTTTTCAAAAATTCTATCCACTTCTGAAGTTTAAAGTTGATATCTCAAATACTATTTAAATTATGAACCTGAGAAAAATTATGCAAAAGAATATCACCATTTCAGGCAATAACAATAAAAACAATCAAGTCTTGAGTTACCATTATTGTTGAGTTTCCATTCTAGTACATACCACTCCTGCTAAAAGAGATCTCTTAACCTATGAAATTACAAGCTGATATCCCAAATACTTCATGACCTATGTATGATCTTGACAAATGCTTAGCATGGAAAATGACAAAGGGAAAAAAGTAAAATACTATGAAGGGTAGAGTTATCATTCTTGTGTGCACTGCACTTGTCTTGAATATCAACTTCATGAATTTCAAATTGATATCTCAAATACTTTTTGAGGTTATGCGCCAGACAAAAATAATAGACAGAAGGAAGGACGAAGACTATTAACGTATCCTCCGTCACCTTTTTGGTGTAGGATAATATTAAGATAATATTAAGGTGAAATATGAAATCATACCAGAAGTTGTGCAAGTTCTAGCATTCTGCCAGCTGTGTCCACAGCTATCATAACATTTCCATCACGTCTCATTGTTTGTAAAATGGTTGCTGAAAATAGAAAATATTGAAATTATAACAACTAAACAGCCATTACTTCAATCTTAAACACAAGGCTTTACTGGACCCTAAAACTTCACCTTACAGTGAGTATAAAATACAGTGTTTTCTTGAAATTTTACCCTCTCAGGAAGATAAAAAACAAAAATCTTAAAAAAGATATATACAGGAGTACAACAATTTTATATGAGGTCTTACAGAGCACTGCAAGAATTATTATTACCAAGAACAATATTTCAAGTTACAAAGAAATTCTCTTTGCTCAAACTCAGACTTCTGTTATTTGATTGGTTAGAATTGCAACAGAATGTACAATGACCAATGAAAATCCAGAGATTAAGAAACGATAACTGTTGTTGGAAACTGACAAATGCCCCCTTAGCAGGGCCAAGTAGAGGACGAGGACGGACAGATGGAGGGACAGAAGGACAGAAGTTACAATAAAAGACAAACTCAGACAAAAGTTTTATAACCTCAAGGCTATGAAGGCCATTCAAAAGCATCCCATGTAGTAAACTACATGTTTATGAAACAAGGACTACAGATTTAAAGAAAACAAGTTTTGTTTTTAATATTTGTAATAAAATTTAAATAATCACCTTCAGATGATTAGCAAGGTTATATCAAAGGATCTTAGCTGTGGTCAGATAGATATAAAGGTGAGATTACCCACTGACAGGTGCTGGCAAAACAATATACCACATAGACAGATGAAATTAAAACAACATACAATCCCACATATTTATTGGTACATCATTGAACTTGAAGTCACTCAACTACATGAAGGTTACATTTGCAATCCAGAGGTTACTTAAGCATGATTTGGCTATTTTGTAAAATATAATACATTTTTACATTATAACATCTGACAAGGGTTCAGAGCAAAATGAAGGTGAGTGGTTATTGAAAATCATGCAAAAATTTTGGTGACCTCTATCTTGTAAAAATCCTAAACCTACCCTTGTGTTATAATGGGGATGAGTAATCACACTTACTTAATGTAGTACATCTTTTTGGTATGTAGCAACTTAGTAAAATTCTGTCAAAGATACACAGCTCTAGAAAGTGGTTACAATATACAACCATGCAATTTCCAGGGAGTTTAAGCCATAAGAGATGAATTTTTAGCTAAAAAGTAAATACAGAGGCCAATGAGACCTAGAATATACCCTAGACATAAGGTAGCCCACCCTAGACAAAAATGAAAAGGTAGCCCTGATAAGGTTTGTTAAGCCAGCTTAAAGTGCCTGCCTTTCAATTCACGTAGAAGTAAATTTTCTATGTTTTCTTGCTGGAAATTATTCACATATTTAATAATGAACTTAAATTTAATTGGTTGACACAATTTTGTCTGTTATACCGATCATACTATAGACCAAGCCTTTTGATTGGTTTTAATAAACTCATGAAATTGTGAGGCAACCAATAAAATAGCTGTCTTTGACACAACTCTAATTGACTGGATATCTGCCAAAAATCCTGGGCTGACAAATGTTTATGGTTCGGCATGGGTATCTAACAATGCCACTTATGTAGACCGAACCATTTATATAACTTTTATAGTGGATGATTCCTGTGGTGATAGGTCAAAGTCAACCTTAACTGATGTTGTTTAAAGAAATTACAGATAGCAATGATTTATGAATGACAGACATCTTGCAGTCACAAAAGCTTACCTACAAAGAAAACTTTGTGCTGAAGTGAGCAAGGAAAAGGATAAGCCATCCTTTCTTGAAAAGTCGATGAAATTAGCAACAACATGTTCACAATACTGGATAGTCTGAAATCAATCTATCTCAACCACATTATACAAGGCTCACAAAGTTGACCTTCCTAATATCACAAGTAAAAACTGCCATATGTGTGATTATTACTTTTATACACTTTCAATCTTTTACATAAGCAGAAAATAACAGTTCAGCTGGATGTAAAGGTCTGGATTTTCTTTTGTACAATGTATCTAATTTAAACTTCAGTCAGAAGAAAATTCACTCAACATTATGTCATTCAAAAACATTATAAAATAAACAGGTGTATGAAGAACAAGAGCAAAATTGTGTCTCTTGATTTTATCCTACAGTGACAGAGGTATTGTCTCAGTACAGAACCCTTATACTCTATCTACAATTTGATTTTGAATGGGACAGTTTGAACAAAGACCAACAAACTGCTATGACTATTGCATTTAAAAAGATCTTACACATAAACATGTTGAAAATTAAACAAAGTATTTATGTTCCAAGCACCTGTATTGAAGAATTTTCTTGTGTTACCATTGCAACTGCACATATATATGTACAACCTCTGATTACTGTGTCAGAAAATAGATTCTTTTGCTAAGTGGTCTAGAGCATTGTTTCCCTCGTTAGTAATTGTGAGGATGTGAATGTGAATCCCTGCCACAATGAGAATGGGAATTATTTCTAATGCAACTTTCTGTTACAAATTAAAAATGTTCGTAAGACTCGGCTTTTCTACAAACACGTTTAACTGAATAAATTCTATTTTAGAAAAAAACAACTACAAAAGCATACTTACAATAAACTGATTGAAATACTTACTCATCAGCTGCTCATCCCTGACTCTCCGCCGTGACTGGTTATAGTTGGCATTAAATGCATCAGTTATCATTAAATGAGGCCGGGAAAAGTACTTTCCTTCCAAAATACAGCCATTTAAATGTCTGCAAGTAAAACAGAAGACAAAATATTTAAATTTTTGACATAATTCAAATTTGAGTTTATTGATTTAAGCTCTTTGATGAGGAAAGATTGAAGCTTATTTGAATTCATTCCAGAATCTGCTTTTTAGACGTAACTATTACTAATGTCCTATGAGGAAACATGGGCCTGAAGAAACACACATATTATATGACAAAATTGACGGATGAAACCAAAGCAACACACATGTTATATGACAAAATTGACGGATGAAACCAAAGCAACACACATGTTATATGACAAGTTGACAGATGAAACCAAAGCAACTTACATGTTATATGACAAAGTTGACAGATGAAACCAAAGCAACACACATGTTATATGACAAAATTGACATATAAAACCTAAGCAACTTACATGTTATATGACAAAATTGACATATAAAACCTAAGAAACTTACATGTTATATGACAAAATTGACATATAAAACCTAAGCAACTTACATGTTATATGACAAAATTGACATATAAAACCTAAGAAACTTACATGTTATATGACAAAATTGACATAAAAAACCTAAGCAATTTACATGTTATATGACAAAATTGACATATAAAACCTAAGAAACTTACATGTTATATGACAAAGTTGACATATAAAACCTAAGCAACTTACATGTTATATGACAAAATTGACATTTAAAACCTAAGAAACTTACATGTTATATGACAAAGTTGACATATAAAACCTAAGCAACTTACATGTTATATGACAAAGTTGACATATAAAACCTAAGCAACTTACATGTTATATGACAAAATTGACATATAAAACCTAAGAAACTTACATGTTATATGACAAAGTTGACATATAAAACCTAAGCAACTTAAATGTTATATGACAAAATTGACATATAAAACCTAAGAAACTTACATGTTATATGACAAAATTGACATATAAAGCCTAAGAAACTTACATGTTATATGACAAAATTGACATATAAAACCTAAGCAATTTACATGTTATATGACAAAATTGACAAATAAAACCTAAGCAATTTACATGTTATATGACAAAATTGACATATAAAGCCTAAGAAACTTACATGTTATATGACAAAATTGACATATAAAACCTAAGCAATTTACATGTTATATGACAAAATTGACATATAAAGCCTAAGAAACTTACATGTTATATGACAAAATTGACATATAAAACCTAAGCAATTAACATGTTATATGACAAAATTGACATATAAAGCAAAGCAACACACATGTTATATAACAGTGTGACACATGAAACTCAAGAAAGTTAAAGTTATGTAAAAATTCACGCTGTCAAAAACATGAGTCTTAATATCAAGTCACATTGTTATGAAGCATGATGACCAGTCCCTTAGACTATCCTCTTAACATTTTGTCACATATAAGCTAAAATGTAAAAACAAAGTCAGAGAATAGTTTTTACAAATGTTCAAGCCTATTCAGATATCAAACTAGTACCTGTTAGACAGTTAAAATCACATTTTTCATGCTAGCCTTAACATATAATGTTGACTGACATGTCTTTGTTTTTCATTCATTTATGTTTATCAATAGTTTTGTGTATGTCTTAAAATATGTCATTGCCATGTACATGTACATATTATTAAGAGATTAATACACGGCAAAGTAGGGCCGGAAGGTGATAATCAGACCGCAAAATGAATAATGGCCCCGAGGGCTTCAGCCCGAGGGCATTATTCATTTAAGGGCCGATTATCACCTTCCGGCCCTACTTTGCCGTGTATTAATGTCTTTAATACACTTGGTAGATCTAATAGTAGCATTTAAAAAAAAAAAAATACTTTGAAGTTCTTTCGTTGAAATTCTTGTCTACACTTCTACTGTTCTGTAGTTGTGTGTTCAAAGCACTAGAATCAAAAATACTTTGAAGTTCTTTCGTTGAAATTCTTGTCTACACTTCTACTGTTCTGTAGTTGTGTGTTCAAAGCACTAGAATCAAGAAGCAAGTTTTTTTTTTCGGAATTAATTTGTCGTATTATTTATTCAAATTTTAATAGTAACAAAAATGTGTTTGTACGAAATACGCTTAAACTCTCATAATAAAATAAAGCGATTCGTGCTGACAACCTACTTTTCCTTTTACATT